AAAAAAAAAAAAAAAAAAAAAAAGCACAAGGGACAGTTCTGATGACTTGTCAAAGGTCACACCACTAATAAACATAGAATTGGTATTCACACCCAAGAGGTCCCACACAGAGAGCATTACATTCTCTCAGGTTCACGTTGCCCTAGGCTGACCCTTTAATATAATGCTGCACTTAAGAAACTTAGTTTACAGTGTACGAGTATGAGGAACTTGGTTCTAGAGAAATCTTAATAAATCCCACCCATTCTTTAAACGTTGGTCAGGAATCACCACTGGATTCTAAGCTCCTGAATTTTACCTGTTACATGTTTCCAGTGTTAAAGGAATGATAAAACCCAAACACTCGCTAAAGACGCCAGGGCAGACTTTCTTCAAGGGGGGCTGTGGTGCTAGGTGTGAGGATCTCTGCAAGAGCGTCTTGTCGTAGAGGAAGAGGCTGGACTCAACTCCGACTCCAGCAAGTACAGTTAGGCCCTGACAACCAAGGAGCAATGTGGAAAGTTACCACGAGGAAGCGTCAAGGGCAAGAGGCTTCAGCTAAGATGGCTTGACAGACTTATTGCTGAAGGGAGGGTGGTCAGACACAAAGAAAGAGGGATTTACCTAAATCGACTAGCAAATACTGGCTCAAACTGGATTCCACAGGCAGAAGCCCAGGTGGGGCCTAGGCAAGCAGAAGACTCAGAGGAGCCTGTCTAAAGTTTTGGCGTGTTGGTTCACACCTATAATCCCAGGACTTTGGGAGGCCAAAGTGGGAGATTGCTTGAGACCAGCCTGGGTAACATAGCGAGACCCTGTCTCCACAAAAAAAAAAAAATTATTTTATTTAATTAATTAATTAATTAATTTTGAGTTGGAGTCTCACTCTGTCGCCCAGACTGGAGTGTAGTGGCAGTCTCCCAGCCACTGCAGCCTCGATCTGCTGAGCTCCGGTGATCCTTCCGCCTCAGCCTTCCAAGTAGCCGGAACTATAGGTGCACACTACCAAGCCCAACTAATTTTATTTATTTATTTATTGTAGAGATGAGTTCTCGCCAAGTTCCTCTGGTGGGTCTTGAACCCACGGGCTCAGGCAATCCATTCACCTCAGCCTCCCAAAGTGCTGGGATTACAGGCTGAGCCACCGAGCCCGGCCAAAAATTTTTTTTAAAAATAAGGGGGTTGAGGCTGGGCTCGGTGGATCAGCCTGTAATCTCAGCACTTTGGGAGGCTGAGGTGAGTGGATTGCCTGAGGCTGTGGGTTCGAGACCAGCCCAGGAAACTTGGCGAGACCTCGTCTCTACAATAAATCGAAAATTAGCCAGATGTGGCAGCATGTGCCTGCAGTTGCAGCTACTTGGAAGGCTGAGGCGGAAGGATTACTGGAGCCTAGCAGGTCGATGCTGGAGTGGCCATGAGTGTGCCACTGCACTCAGTCTGGACGACAGAGCAGGACTCCGACTCAAAAAATAAAATTAGCTGGTTGTGATGGTACACACCTGTAGTCCCACCTTCTCAGGAGGCTAAGGCAGGAGGATCATGTGAGCCCATGAATTAGAGGCTGCAGTAAACTGTAATCTCCACTGCACCCCAGCCTGGGCAACAGAGAAAAAAGCCTGGGCAACTTCGTTTCTCTCTCTCTCTTTTTTTTTTAAGTCGCAGTCTTACTCACTGAAGTAGGGTCCGAGCGAATAAATAACAGCCCACCGACTTAATTTTAACAAAGGAGACGTTTATTAGTCAAGCTGGCAACCGCTAGCAGGAAGAGAATCCCAAGCAAATCAGCCTCGAGCCGCTGCTCAGAGCTTCCTTAAGTAGTCCTAGCTTACATTTTGGTTAGCTAAAGTTAGAGTTGGACATTTTCCAGAGCCCTTATCGCAATATTCTGCTGACAGAATATTCAGCAAGCTAGTGAGTTTACAGAAGCAGATGTGCTAATTAGGCAGGTGTAGTGGGTAAGGATACAATTTATTTTGCAATGTTTACAGAGGAGAAACTTTCAAAGAAAAACCTCCAGGAAGGGAGTAAGGCCTGTTTCAAGGCTGAAGCCATCTCTTTCATCTCCACCCCCTTACAATCCCTGGGGCAGAGGCTGCTTCTTTTTCCTTTCACACTCACCACAGCCTCGACCTGCTGGGCTCAGGTGATCCTTCCACCTCAGCATTCCAGGTAGCTGGAACTACAGGCGTGCGCCACCACACCCAACTAAGAACTTTGTCCCTAGAAAAAAGAGTCTTTGTCACTAATTAAGGATCATTTGATTTCAGCAACTTCAAGTTCTCTCAAAGAATCTTTCTCTTAATCTTAAAACAATTCCATTGTAAAATCACTTTATATAGCATTATAAACTTTGTTGACAGGTAAAATTAAGGCCAAGCATTAAAAGTAAACTATCTAGGTCAAAGTTTAGGCTTAAAACCTGTTGTATTACTAAATAAATAGTAAATAAACAATCATAACTGATGCAAAACGGTAAACATCTGACAGACCTATTAGAGTGAGGCTGAGAAACTGATTGTCAGAAAAAGGTTAACTGAAACATTCGTAGAGATTTTACACTGCCCAGAGCTCAGCCAAGGTAAAGAGGTGCCTGGTCTCCTTTCCTCTGCTCTGAAGTAGATCTGTGCTTCTCACACTTGCCTGTGTAAGAACCATTCAGGGATCTTTCAAAAATACAGATTCAGGGTCAGTAAATCCGGGGCAGGACTGAGATTAGTTTTCCAACAAGCTCCAGGGAGATACTAGGCTGGCCTGAGAATCGCCCAGAATTGCAGGGAAGCAGATGGAAGAACGAGAGACTTGGAAGAGTCCATGCACAGGCAAGGGCCACGAAGGGCAGCCACGTCATCTAAGGCTTCTCTCCCACCTACAAGTGACTGAAGCTTTTGCTTAAAAAAAGAAATTAAAAATAAAAAAAAAAAACCCTGGCCGAGTGCTGTGGTGGCTCAAGCCTGTAATCCCAGCACTTTAGGAGGCCGAGGTGAGAGGATTGCCTGAGCACAGGGTTCAAGACCAGCCTGGCCAACATGATGAGACCTTGTCTCTACAATATATATATATATATATATATATATATATATATATATATATATATATAT